AGACAATATTCAATATTTCATTCATTTAAAAGTTTTTTAACTAGGTTGTAGAGACTATTTAGAAAAATAAACATTCATTTAAAAATATAATGGTTACTCATATTTGTTATAATAAACAGAAAATCCAGATTTCATTGTGTTGTATTTGAAATATTGATGATTTTATTTACAAAATGAACTGCAATCATCATATGGCATTCACATTTGTAAGACTAAAAAATCTTTGACATTTATTCTCTTCTTTACCACAAAACTTCAAAATCAAAGACACGTCTGTCTCTAACAGTGACTTAAAAAATACCCACTTTGCTACATATAGGATTGAGAGAATGATACTTTAATATTAGCATTCAAAACCTTTTTTACTAGTATTAAAAACCCAGTCTGAACCTTCAGGAAGTCATTTACAAGTTGCTTCCTTGGGATTACCTACATTCTTGTCCACTTTGACCTTGTAATTTTGCTCACAGTTGGAAATGTAATGCAGAGTGACTCAGATAATGTTGTTTACACAGACTTTAAGTGGAGTGACATTATAGTCAAGCAAGTGTCACCTCACCTAAAGTGAAAGAAGACTTAATTACCATAATCCTGTGAATACTAAAATTTCTTTGCCATGTGTAGCATAATAATGTAGTGTTCTGTGTGGTACAGTTAACAATGCAAAGGGAAAAGGCGCACTAGGTCTCAGACTATGTGTCTTTAAAAGTGAAGAGAATTGAAATTGTAGAAAGAGAATAGAATTTTGAAGTAGGATTCTTGTAGGAATGTTCAGGTGAAATTTTTCTTTCGTTCAAACCCCGAAGGGTTGCCTAGTGACGTGAAAATGAAAAGACGGCTAAAATATCCATAAATCTAGACACCAGTGAGTAGGGTGACAGACCATGAATTTCCTGGAGGGTGCAGGGTAGCGTTAACTAAATGACTAAGACAGGATAAAGAGGAAAGGCTGATAACCACCTATTATTGTGCAATGGGAAACATATCATTAATTTACAAAGAGAGTGGTGACATTTTCTAAAATTGTATAGCCCTATTCTTAAAAGTTTGTCAGTGTAACTAATTAGTTGCTAAAGTGGAGTTGATTCTAAGACTAAGTATGAAAGCATTTGGAAAGGCAGGACATTGTCCATAAATTGGTATGGTGTGTAATACATCTTGATGAATGGTGCGAAATAGTGTTAAGAAATGGGACTATTATGCCAAAATAGCCGTTCATTGGTTTGTAGTCCTTAAAGGAATTACGTTCCATGGCAACGTGGCCTAAAGTCCCGTAGATAAACATGAAGTGCCTCAAGGACATGTCTTGTTTTCTGTCTTTGTTAACACTGAGTTTTCAACACAAGGAATTCACCATGAATCTTTTCCAGAGCTTTTCAACTATAATGCTGTTACTATAGATTGTTACTTGGGATTAATTGTTTTTAAGTCATTCAATTGTTTGGAAGAAGGAAAGTATAAAATGAACCAGCAGTAAAATGTAAAAGATTTAAAGATCTTTAGAAAGCTGATAGGTTAAAAATGTGTATTTCAATCAATAGAGTCATGCTACTGATCTGCTATTGATAATTCACAAATCAAAATACTAGATAATCTGATATGTACCATGTTTCAGTTTTTTTAAATGCAGAACTATAGATACAACAATAATATTGAATCATGTTAATATCAACCTTGTTTTACAATTGGGGAAGCTTAAGCCTTTGAAAGTATTAATATAAAAATGGCTGTTATTTTAAATACATAAGTAAAATTATTTTTTATTTTCATTTAGATATCTTCATTTCATTTGCAATTTGATTTTCGTTATCTAGCTTTCGCTAACCAGTATTTTACTGTAAAACAATTGGCCAATAGATCTGAATTCTCGTGTTGCTTTAAAAACAATTTAACTTACATTACAATGTTCATTTTAAGTTCACACTCAGTTATATATTGATTTATATAACATGCTAAGTATTAAAAATTTACATTTTTGGAATTTTTGATCATGAGACACTTGTCAATAAAACATCTGGTGTGTGCAAAATATTGTTGTAGCAGCTATGGTGGTGCTCAGTTATAAAGCCAATACTCGAGATGCTGAGATAGGAGGATTGCAACTAGTTCTAGTCCAGCATGCTTTACATAGTGAGTATTAGGCCCTCTTGGGAAATATGGTAAGACACTGTCATAAAAGAAAAGCAGTATATGAAGGAATTTAGGAAATTTTATTAAAATATTCCACTTAGATATTCTTTATAACTTTAAATTTTTATTATTACTAAAAGTAAATAGTTTCTTAATTTGTGCTTGTCAAATTTTTATCTCTTCAAAAAATTTTTTTCATGTGATTTTGGGTACTAAATTAAAGAACAATTAATATGGGTAAAATACTTATTAATAAAGTGAGCTTCTCAGAATAATGTGTGTGTGTGTATGTGTGTGTGTTTGTAGGGGTATGCCTTTGTGTCTGTATAAACATGGCTTCATGCATGCTAACCATAAGCTATAATTCCAGCTTGTTTCGTTGAAATCCAATTTTGTCATAAATTTATAGAAAACTTTCAAGGATTTTACTGAGTCTTCCCATCCTCATTCCCTTATTGCTAATATGTTAGAAATAATTAATCAATTTATGATGCTATTGTTATTTATTTATTTATTTATTTTTATTAAAAATTTCCACCTCCTCCCCTCCTCCCATGTCCCTTCCCCTCCGCCCTCCCCCTCCCTCTCCAGTCCAAAGAGCAGTCAGGGTTCCCTGTCCTGTGGGAAGTCCAAGGTCCTCCCCCCTCCATCCAGGTCTAGGAAGGTGAACATCCAAACAGACTAGGCTCCAACAAAGCCAGTACATGCAGTAGAATCAAATTTCAGTGCTATTGTCCTTGGCTTCTCAGTCAGCCCTCATTGTCAGCCACATTCAGAGAGTCTGGTTTGATCACATGCTCCTTCAATCCCAGGCCAGCTGGCCTTGGTGAGCTCCCAGTAGATCAGCCCCACTGTCTCCCCAGTAGCACAGACAATAAGAGCAACAATGAAATGAATAAATAGGACCTCCTAAAACTGAGAAGCTTCTGTAAAGCAAAAGACACTGTCATTAAGACAAAAAGGCAACCTACTGGTTGGAAGAAGATCTTCACCAATCCTGCAACGGACAAAGTTCTGATCTCCAAAATATATAAAGAACTCAAGAAACTAGACTTTAAAATGCTAATTAACCCAATTAAAAAATGGGGCACTGAACTGAACAGAGAATTCTCAACAGAAGAACTTCAAATGGCCAAAAGACACTTAAGGTCATGCTCAACCTCCTTAGCGATCAGGGAAATGCAAATCAAAACAACTTTATGATGCTATTGTTACATTTCTACTTTATTCAAACTCCCTCAGTATTTCCCTAGTACCCATATTCTAAGATGTAAGAGACCATATTACATTTAGTTGACATGTTTCCTTATATGTCTTTTGATTGCAATTAATTTTCTCCTATTTTTGATGACCTTGACAGTTCTGTACACTTCTGGTAAGCTACTCTTGTATATCCCACATCATGGACTTTCTGATGCTTTACTTTCTTTTTTCAGACAGGGTTTCTCCTGTGTAACCCTGACTGCCCTGTAACTTGCTTTTCTACACCAGATAGGCCTTGAACTCGCAGAGATTTACCTGTCTCTGCCTCCTGGAGTGCTGAGATTAAAGGTGTTTGCCACCAAACCCAGCCACTTTTCTTTTAATTGATTTGGGATTATATGCTTTACAAAGGGAAATCAAAGAGATAAAATGCGATTTTTAGTATTGTCATAGAACTTCTGAGATTGACTTTGATGCCCTGCCTCAAGAAATGCTCACGGTGAAGTTTCTTGTTTAATTCTTAAACTAGAATGTTTAGAATAGTCTGTTTCTTCAAAATATCGTTTGACAAATTTTGATCTTCTCAATCCCGAGTAAATATAGAAGGTGGTCAAGAAAGAAGGTAATTGAAATGTTGTCAATTCCATATCCCTCATTGTATCCAGAAACCACATAGACTTTTAAAGGCACACACGTGGTCTTCATAGGTTTCAAACTGCACTATGTAGTAATCTGCCACACGTACTGTTTGCAACTTGCTCCCCTAAACTGACTCCAATAACTACATTGCTAATTATTCACTACTCATCATAGATTCATTGTTTTTCTCCTCCAGAGAAGATTCTGGGGGTCAGATGCATTTGGAAAATAGGAAATTGGTACAAAAAAATACATGTTTCTACTGAAGTTTTTCTGTGAATAAATAATTTGTTTTATGGATTTAAAAGAGACAATTTTATGTACTCTTTCAGTTACTTTCAAATAAATAACAGGAACTGCAGGAAGCGAATATTCAAAGAATATTTTTATAAATACTTTTTATAGTGGTAATAGTCATGAATTTCTAGTTAGTAAACTTGTGTTCAACCCTTTGCTATGCCATGAACTGGTCCTATAACCACAGACAAGACACTCAACACTTACAAGTCTCCACTCCATAGATCTAATATTAACTATAGGGACCTAATATTAACTCTTTGGGGTTTTTGTGAAGAGCCAAACCAGTGACTGCAAAAGTTTTTGAAAATCCTTTGGAAATGTTCAGTGATAATTTTATAGCCACTGTGAATGGGATGACCATGTCTTTATTTTACTAGTCAGTGCATTTGCAAATTTTGTCCATATTTGAGGTGCTAATATTAATTATAAATAAATGCTTATTGGCAAATTGAACATATTATTCTGTTATTTCATATTTCTCCCCAAGTATTGTACTGTAGTTTATGGTAATTTTTAATTTACTTTTAAAATTGTTTATCCACTTGTCAAAAGGTAGGAGGAAACACAGTGCCAAACCGGCTGTATTATATACAAAAAGTACCCTGACTTTTTCATTCTAGCTTTTGTTTGGCTGGGCTTGTGCGCCTACTCAATGGCTGACTGCCTTCTGATTAGTTTTCAATTGCTTTAAGCTGACCAGATTTTCCTTTGAAATAAGTGCACTGGAGCTGGTGCTGGAAGAAGAGGCGCACCTGTGCATGCAGGCTGTCAGAAGGCCCACAGAGTCCTGGTGTGCTGAGGCTGCAGCTGCTAGGCTGAGAAGCAGTCAGATGCACTTTGTCCCTCCTTCTTCTGCAACCACAAGAGACCCACGAAAGGATCTCTACTTTCTTTTGATGTATAATTTGCATTGATTAACAGTGGTTAAAGAGGGGTCCCTTTTGTAGTACTGAAGACTAGCTGAATCTTCCAGAGGAGTGGCATGGCAGACCCTGTTAAGCAAAGTATTTTGATGAGAAGAGTAGTGTGACCTCACATCTTCCATAGTGTCTAGATCGCCATTCAGTGATGTATTTAGTAAGTACTGCCAGAAGCAAATGGTATTAGGTTCAAGCTTCTCTTTTTTAGAAAATCAACTGAAGCACGTTTATTATATTTGAATTTCATGTGTTTCCAGCCTTCCTAGCAATGCTAGGTGAATATCTGAAATCTAGGAGGAACCCATCCAGCTTTGGAAATTGCAAAAACAATTAAGACAACTCTGAGCTTTCGAGTTTGTGGGACAATGGGCAAGATCAGTTTCAGGGTTTTATTCTGAACGTGAAAACCATCATGATGCTTAATTTTGTCCATCTGGTAATTCATGAACACTAAAAATCAGAGAGAATGTCTGAGTTAAACAAAACTTGTGGAATAAAGATGGCCTGGTATTTCAAAGGAGAGTTAATCAGAAATTCTCTAATGGTAGTTTAATCATTAATAGTGTTCTTATTTACACTAAGAAATAGTAAAAAACTCTCTCGCCCTTTCCATGTTCCACTCAAAAGTGAACTATAATAAACTTTAATAATTGTAAAAAATATGTAGTGGGCAGGGAAGGGAGGAAGGCTTAATAGGTTATGTGTATTATGACAGTCTACAGGGTAGGTTTATTATTTTTTCCTTGAAAAAACTACTTTCTTTCAAAATCTAGATTGCCAATTTATAATTATATATGTGATTTTACTGTATTACTTCTACTTTTGTTCAAATATACAGGATTATTATTTAATTGATATGGATAGATGCTGTAACAAGACTCATGTAGTTTTGGGGGAATGTAGCTATTTTTCTATGGAGAATATGATAAATTTCTTTTAAATGAGCAATACATTGAGCTTCAAACAAACTTTACAACTTTAATCTGCAAATTACATTTAAGACTTTGCGTAAGTCTACTGAGTTTCATGAACTTTAGCAAATAAATTCTAGCACTGCAAAATAATTAGTGAAATTACGTTGAAACTGTTGCAAACAAATAAAGTTATTACTCATTCTGTGCCAAACTGCAAATGTGAGAGGATATTTTAAATGATAAATTAAGCATGAACTGCTTTATTCTGTAAGGTGAACATGTTAGCAAACGCCTTGCGTTTGTAATTAGTATTTATGGCCACAGGAGAGAGCCTCTATTAAAAAGAGTGACAGGAAATTGATCAGTTTAAGTTACCATAGCAACCAAAATAGTTCCATTGCTTGTGTTGGCTTTAGTCTATCACATTATATATCTATGCTTAGAAATATTTTTATTAACTGCAAAAATAAACTAGTCAATAATGCAAAAGGGGTTAGTTTACTGAAATGACTGACAAAGTGCAGATGAACACTTGGCTACTTGATAACAAGCTTAAGTGTTGAGAGGTTGTCATGACATTTTTTTTTACAAAGCAAATGACGTCTCCCAAAAAACTCTTAAAACTAGATGAAAATGCAAATCTCTTTATGACAGTATGTGGCTGTCACATTAATAATGAGAGACAATAATTGATGATTTATGAGATGATACCATGGCAACAAAGTCTTTCATCATTGGCACCCCTTGGTTACTTTTTTTATCAGTTGCTTGTGAGTGCCTCTGAAATGTTTCCACCATGACATACAAGAAGATCTGGTCAGATCTGAATCCGTTAGATCTAATTGAAAACAAGGCAGAGGTGTTGACAATCTCAGAATCAACAAAGTGAAAAACTGTCTTATTAAAAATTCTCTGGTAGCTGAAAATGGACAGGCTTGACTCTGCTTCTTAACCTTTGAAGCAAATCTTAGTGCTTTTCATAAATCTGGAGTGTAAGCTGTTAGCCTTTTAAAGGTATATTATCTGGTAATAACCTTTCCTAATAGATGGAAGGAAAAGAGACTTACTTTCAATTCAAATTAAACTATTTTTTTAAATTTGACTTTAATATTTTTTTATTAATCTGGGTTAAATGTATAATTGAATACTTTAGAATGACTTTAGCATATTCGGTAGGCCAAGGAATAACATGTTTCTTTTTCTTAGAGGTGATTATGCATCAGTTTTAATCTGTAATAGTCTGTTGCAGATTGCTTATAATATTGTAAAATTATCAACTTTCTTTATTGTTTGATGACAGTTCATAAAAATGAAATCTTTGATATACTTATATCTAGGAAGAGCCCTGGATTATTTAGCCAATGATGGGACTGAAAGAAAATATTAGCTAAGATTTTAAGGCCCTTTCCAGTGAAATATGGGAATAATTAATAGAGTTGTAGAATTAGCAGCAGTTGGGGATAATGAATATAATACACCAAGGTTGTCAAATGTAAAGCCAAGAATATAATGGAAACATATACATCAAAATTAATCCATGTTTATGCATGTTTTTCATCAAATATGTAAAACATTTTCAGACCTTATTTCTTTTGTATGTCAAGGATTTTATAGGAGAAAATTCTGTAATACATATATCCTTCAATTATAGAAGCCAATGACACAAAACAGGATCTTCTCTTATTATTTTTACTTATATAATTGTTGCAAGGTCAGGCAAGACTTCTCAGCTTTAGGAGAGCTGACTATATGAAGTTTGTAATTTTTGTTCCTAATTAAAATTTAAGAAAATGGAGTTTACCCATGAACATAATAAATTACTTCAGTTAATATAAAAATAATAAGTTAATTCAGATTCTGAATTTTTCCCTAAAGAGGAGAGAAACCACATTAAATTGCAAATTTCTTGATGGGAGAATACATGATTCTGTTATTTATGTCATTTACTAAATATTATAATCTTTAGTATCTACATATAAGCATACATACATACATAGACATACACATAAATTTCTCATTTTGTTGTAGAAGATATTGTTTCTGAAAATCAGTCTTGTATTCATTTTCCTATCCTTTTCTCTTGTAGATTTGTATTAGAAAAATTGCTTAGTTGAAGGTTACAAGCATTATACATTTTTATTGAATAATGCTCAAGTTTTAATTCAATCAATCTGACAACAGTTCTTGGCCCAATCAATATTTTAAATGGTAATGCAGAACATATATAAGATTATAGAAAAGGTGGTTTTATTTATCAGGAGTTTATGATTAATTGTCAGAGGTACCAAATATAAACATGAATCAACACAAAATAAATTTAGTGTTTTAAATTAAGAATCATATTTTATTATAGACAATATAAGTCTCAGAGTTAATTCAGTTTATTGTAAGGAGATAATTATTAAAATGTGATTTGTAGTGGATAATGAGTCAGAAGATAGAACTTTGGAATCATGAACACAAGTGAATTTGTAAAATTATAATTAATAGAAAAAAATTTGCTCTCTATTTTAATGTGAACCAAGAGAGAGTTGTAAATAATTATGGCATATGATTAAGGAAAAATCCAGTTTACACTGAAATAGTAATTATGGCATATGATTAAGGAAAAATCCAGTTTCCACTGAAGTAATAGCCATGCAGAACATCAGAAACAGCATTTAGAACTGCATTGTAAACTGGTTTGCTTTTCTACTTATGTTCTTAGCTAACTGCATTAGTCTCCCTTCTTGCTGCTTTACATGGTTATCTTTCTTGTTCTTAGAATGAAGTACAAATGTTTTAACAAAGATTTCAGGTACTATGCCAGTGGTTCTCATATGGAGATGATTTTCATTTCCAGTGTATGTTTGGAAATGTTTAGAAACATTTCTCTTTGTCATACTTGGTTGTGGAGGTGCTACTCATATCTAATGAATGGCAGTCCGGAGTCCTGCAGAACATCCTGTATTCTATGATCATTGCACTCCAAATCCCAAATAAAGAATTTTCAACTTAACATGTCAGTAATGCTAATATTGGGAAAGGTGACGTGCTATCCTGTGCCACCCAAATCATCCACGTTGTCAAAGGCACCCCAATGACACCTTCTATGTTATTGTTTATTTTTGTCATTGTCATATCTGTAAAATTCCATTTTTCTTTTATGGTCAGGATTTCATAAATGTATTCTATGTATGGGATATACGTCTCTTCACCTGATCCTCAGAAATGTACTCTTCATCCACAAACTAATGATAACATTTCTACCCTTAAACTTTCCTAAAATGTTGTTTGAGAACCAATAACTCTTACCTAAGGAAATACATAGCTTGGTTTCGGGCAGTATCATATGCTATGGTAGAAAAGATGAAAAGTGTTTAGGAATTTTGCTTAATGGTTATGGTATTGGAGGAAGAAGTAATTCGAGAGGGCCCCAAAGTAGAATTTTCATAGCGTAAGGTTGGCCACTGATTTGATATAGATAATGAAAGAAGAGTTAAAGATTATTTCTGCATACTTGGTAGATTGAAGTAGCAGAAAAAAATGAAATTTGGGAAATAATCTTTATTTTGATTATTTCAATGAGAAACTTTGTTTCATTGACTTACTAATGCTTATATCAGCTAGAAATAGAGTTCGGTCTGGATGAACTTGCTAGCTCTGTGACTGTGGACAAATCTTTTATGCCTAGTCTTAGTGAAACATGGAGAAATTATAATTATTTGCCTGCTGAGGTGTTTAAGAATTAAATTATTTAATGAATATCAAACACATATCCAGGTGTTGGGCATATCATTAACTTAAGGCTTACTGCTATTATAATAACAGTTATTATTCCTATTGTGGAACAATGGAGTAACTTTCCTTTTTAGGTCCCCAACTTTTGAAATTATACCTTTCAGTATATGCACCATGTCTTCCATGAAACCTTTTTTGAT